ACCAGGTAAGGTATAGTTAATGTGCACTTACTAGTTTATTGTGACGTGAGTGCTGACTTTTTTTTTTTTTTTAAACCTCCTGTATGCACCGGTTAGCCCTGAGAAGAAAGCCACTGCAGATGAACAAGCAGAGCCACATGTGGAGGTACATAAATCTGTCCCAGAGAAGGACAGTCAGCCTGCTCCTAAAGCCATACAGAAGCGTTTAATTGGGAAGAAGCCTGCCAAGAGGAGAAGTGCAAGGTGAGGCCCTGTACAAAGAGTGTGATGACATACAAACCCCTCAAAGCTCTAGAAGCTCCTTTCTACTTACCCAAATATTTATGACTGTGAGTACAGAAGCTGCCCCCCCACTCTGGAAGAACTTAAACAAACAACTTGAACTTGACTGTCTGAGTAATGATGCTGAAGTGACTGACTTTTATGTTATATCCCTACTGGTTTATTTATCTGTGTGTGTGTCTGTCCGTGTCCCACTAGGCCTGTGAATAATCAGCAAAGGAAGGAGGACAAGAAGAGAAAAAGTGAGTCTGCTAGTGGAAGATCCAGTGACAGTCAGTCACAGGTGAGGAGCTCTTGTGTGGTCATAAAGCCTTTCAAATAAAAATAGAGTTGAGATGTCAGATGTGCTGAAAATAATGATTTGTTCCAGAGCTCTGGCCCCGCCCCACAGAAGAGCAGGCGAGTGCTTTCATCTGATGAGGAGGATGTGGATGTAGACTCCAGCTGGGTATGGACTAGCATTAGCACAGAGCTTTGAGCAACAGTGGCAAATATGGGCTATATTCTAACTTTGCATCTTTTTCTTCATGTCATTTCCTCAGAATCCAAGTCCAAAGAAGGCCGTGAGGGGAAGCTTGGGAAGAATGAAAAAGTCTTTGTACGAGAAATCCAAAGCTAGGAAGTCTTCATCAGGTAAGAGCAAAGAGAACTAGTTACTGTCTGTTATCACTTTTACAATGCATAACGTCTGATTAGACTTCATTTCTGTTGCTGCGTTTGGATGTAAGGGTCAGAATTTGGTACACACAGCATGAAAGCATGACCTGCCTGGTATTGATGGTTCAGGCTGCTTGTGCCGGTGTAATAGTGTGGATATTTTCTTGGCTCACCTTGGGTTTCAATATTATCAACTTTATTTAAAAGCAAATACATACCTGAGTATTGGTGCTGACAATGTGAATCCATTTATGACCACAGTGTACCCATTTCTGATAGCTGCCTCCAGCACGATAACACGTCATGTCATAAAGCTCAAATCGCGACAAACTGGTTTCTTGAACATGTTGTCATATCACTGTGGAGCAAATCTCTGTGGAATATTTCCATCACATTCCTGATTGTAGAAATTGCAACATTGTAGAAAACAACAGAGGGTCCAACCCAACACTATGCAGGTGTACCTAATGAAATGTCCAATGAGTGTATTTGTAATCAGTATCTGTGGCAGTGTTTCACAAAACATGCAGTTGGCATGAAGGTGGGAGGCTGTTGTAGTCAACACTGTCGCCTTACTGCAAAGGTTCTGATCACATGTTGTTGTGGGGTTTTTTGTTGTTGTTGTTTTTTTGTAACTAACACAACAAACATTTGTTTCTGAACTGTATCAACTGTTGGTGTGATGGACCAAGCAGCCAATTACACCATTTTACCCCCCAAAAAGACAAATTTAAAAATAAAATTAGTGGATTCATAAAGAAGCTCAACTAAGCATAACTACTCAAAAAGTGACTTCCAGAAACTTAAATGAGTAAACTGAGCACAAAGACACAGGAGGGTAACAGTGGTTTGGCCAAACCATTTACTCACAGAGGGAAACAAACACAAAATAACATAACTGCACCTGGCCACACCTTTTGCCCAGACAGGAAGCAGCCAGTATAACCACACAATGCTACTATGTGCTCATAATATCATTGTTAGGATAAAGTAGAGACATTAATGAATTATATTGCTAAAATAACTGGAATCCAAACTAAGGAGGTGAATGTATGGATTGATTTTGCCCATGTGTGGCTGATGCAGTCACAGTTGGCTTTCATCAGAAAGAACCGAAACAGACTCTAACCACATCACTGGGAAAAGTATCTCAGTGAGCCTGGCCCTGTGCTTTATTTAATATTACTGTAATTTAATTGTAATTGACATTTTTCCTTAAAAAATTATTGCTCAGAGTGATTAAATAATGGAGATGATTCCCCTCGAAGGCAGTGGATCCGGAGAACCAGAACAGGCCAGCACAGGCGAGCAGAGGAGGAAGAAACGAGGCCAACACAGAGGGACAGAGTTGGAGGTGCTGCTGGATTCCTTCCTTGACTTCTGTGAGCAGTACAGGTAAATTTCCAAAATTCAACGCTCATTCACCGTGACCGTCTCTGTAGCCTGTAATCTAGGCTTTAAGTACACATTACAGTCATTTTTATTAACGCCTTTGCATTGACAGCAGCTGTGTTTCACACAGATATCTATCACAGATAAATATTGAAGCAATGATGTTCACTTTAGAAAAGCTCAAAGGCTGAGTCAGGATGCAAGAAAACTGCAAGCATGCTGGTAGAGGTAATCATTCAGGTTGCCAGTAGCATTACTTTGTTCTGCTTGCTTTCAGGGAGTCTGTGGGGTCTAAAGCTGTCAGACACACCATTGATCGTTTCTCCAGCAATGTCAAAGACCAGCTCACAGAAAAGGTCAGACTTTCCTGATTCTGGTCATGATGTCAAACAGAGGTTGTCAAGGACAACACAGCTTTACTCTGTGTTGTTTTGAAGGATGCTACAAGCTGGATTAAACCAACAGTGTAATACCAGTAACTCATACATTGTGTAGCCATATTAGAGTGTAAAGCACTATAGAAGGACATGATTACAGTGACAATTGTAATGCTAAGTATTTTGTTGGTTACTGACATTAAACATCATGAAATGCTGGGAGGTCCCTACAAGGCCTTTTTCATCTAACGACATAATAAGTAGTCGATCCTACTTCAAACTCTAGATGTCACGAATGGACTTATGATATAACTTGGATTTGTTTTCTCCATGAATTGAGTCTAATAGACAGCAGCATTTTGTTGATCAGCCATCATTAAATCAAACACTGTATTTGTCTCTTTCAGATCACTTCACTTAAAGAGCTCAAGTTTTTAAAAAGAGAAAACAACAAGGTAATTATGACGTCTGGTCAGCATTACTAATGTAAGCATGGTAAAATACTAAATTGTGACCCTAGTAGCATGTTAGTACGCCACCTCTGATCAAGGATCCCAAACACGCATCGGGACTGGTTGGAATGGATCGATCAGGCTACCAAACACACTCAGTCAAGCTGCAGTTTGTTAATGGACATTGAATTAAATATTATTGTGTGTGTATATTTGTGTTCTTTTGACCCTTTGTGGATTGGAGGAAATCCTAAATGGATTCAAACAAAGTCTTGTTTTTTGATTTGTTTGGTTTTTAAGTCATTAAAGATTTGTGCTGCACAATCATTGCACTGGAAAAAGTTCAAAGAACTCATTAAAGTCCTAAACTTCCCATCACGATGAATTTACATAAGCATCTAACCACACCACCTCCCTGCTAGTTAATGATTCTCAACTTTGACTCATTCAAAACGGTCAAAATCAGATCAATAGGCTCATTTTGACGTTTCTGTGTGTCCTTGAACTTCTAGTCTGCACGACAATAATCCACTTTATACTCTTGGAAGATAAGACGAGAACTTTAGTCATTTAATCGTTCCATATCGCCTCCTTACCTTCCGTATGAGCTGGCAGAATGTGTTAGACATGAACATACTGTTACTGTGATTTTATGTCAGAGTACTGATGCCTATGTTTAGCTCAAAGTCAGCGTCCATACTTTGCACTGAAGGGTAACAGAGCAGCTTGTATTTCTGTAGGTTGGGTAAAGTGCTTGTTTCCATTGTTCTGTGTTAGGTGGGCTCTTTGATCCGTAAAAACACGCAGAGACTGTTTGATGCCAAGCATGAGATGATGAGGTGAGCAGCAGCTCACACACATGATTTACAAACAGCCTGTTATAACTTTTATGTCTTTATAGAGTCATTTATGTGAAAGAACTAGGTCTTGGAGAATGTAAAAGTTTACATTCTTTTCCTTTCACTGACTGCTGACCTCGTGTGATTGTTCTAACAGAGCAGAGAGGCAGGCATGGTTGCTGGAGAAGGAGAAAGCTGAACTTCAGCAGCGGTTAGCTGACCTGAGACGAAGCCAGGCCTTCCTCCATGACATCAGAGAGCTCAACCGACAGTACCTGGACTACAGACAAAAACACCCCAATGAGAAAGAGACGGTAGAGATGCACAACAACAATAAATACCCAAATACTGTATTGTGTATTTCAATGATGAGCTGAATTCTGGTTCCTTTTTCCAGTACGGGGCCTCCAGCTTACCAGCTCTGCTCTTGGAGACGAAGCACATTAAAACAGCAGAGAGAAAAGAGACTTAAAATGAGTCTGGGAAATGACACAAATGCAGAACGTTTAAAGCTCCCAGAGACTGCACAATATGAGATGAGAGGCTGGAAGCAGCTTGACGGTTTGGATTGTAATGTATGGTGTAGATAAGGCTTTGTATATAACACTGTCCTGTTCATTTAGATCATAAATGTAAACTGGATGATTACTAGAAGAATGTGACATGTTTTATAGATTAATAATATGAATACATTCATATTGTATTTAATAAATTCAAATAATGGAACCAGAGTTTGTGTGCGTGTGTAGTTCAGTTACTTTCTTTATTTAACAAAAGGAAAGAAATTCCGGAAGCAGTCTGAACTGCTACTGGGATTTCCGCGGAGCTTCTGATAATTATTTGTCACAGCATTTCACCTGCCTGTGCAGAAAAGAGAAGGGATTGTTGGTAACTAAACAATAGTTGTCTAAACCAATCAGCGTTTGTCTTTTAGTAGCGTCATCCCGCCCACACAGAATCGGCGTTCCCATTGGCTCAAAGTTTCAGGTGTAAACTTAACAGAGATTTCCTGGTTGGCTTTATTTATGTAACATACTTCATAAAAGCACTTTCTACTGTCTCATTAAGAGGTACGTTTATTTTGGTGTTTTCTACTCCGTTCGTATTTACCCATATGAGTTACTCGCTGCGTGGGTTTACCGTGTTCCCGCTGATATTTACGTGTTTTATCAACTATTTGCTTCACTAACGCGTTTTCTGACGTAGCTGTAAACTAAACTGAAATTGTTTAACAAACCAGCTCGGGAGTATTATTTTTAGGTGTAACATTAGCTGTAGTAGCACTTTAATGGACAGTTGTCGTATGTTAGGTTTTTGTAGTTTGTGCTACTAGTCTGCAGTGGGACTCACTTTTACGGCATTTATATAATTCATATGGAATATTCCCACAGATCTGTCACTCATGTACGGGGTAATTATTAAGCTAACATCCAGGTATGGTGCGTGGAAGTATTTCAATTGGCTTAACGTAAAAACAAGAACGTGCTGATAGAAAGGTTGTAAATAATTTTTTGTTATCATTGCAGTTTCGTTATTAGCTCTAACTTGGTGTAGTTAAACAGTAATAGTTGTTCCTTAGTATTAGTCTGCTTTGAATATGTTAACATTCAAACACATGGGTGTGTGGAAACAGCAGTCTGTGGTCCTAACCCCAAAAGTAAACCTAACTAATAATAGTCAAATGAACAACTTACAGGAAGCATCATGGGTTTTGTGGTTTTTTCACTTTGGCTAGATCACGTGACCAGTATTTATGACAGGCTGAGATCCTCTAAACCTGAGTTGTTGAACATGGGTCTAGGGTCCAGAGGTAGCCCAGCTCACTAAATGGGCGACTTAAAATATAAAAGAATTTCATTGAGGGCATTTATTAATTATTGGTATTCCTCCTGATGCCAGTGTTGTGCTAGAAACTGATTTTTGATGTTTCAGTGTGCTTTTATTGGTAAATAGACTGACCATACATTTATGGAGGGGTTATATATTTAAAATAAAGACAGGACCTGTTTGTCTGTATTTCCTATGTCTATACAGCCTTACTGCACCTACATTATCAGCCCTTTTTGGCCATTTTAAATATCTTAATAAAACTGTGATGTTATGTTTGTTTGCAGCTCTCTGGGACAAATCTCTGTTGAAAAAAAGACATTTTTGGTGGCAATCAGTTTTTACCTGGGTAAATGTCTGTACAAGTGATTTTGCCAAAACTTCATCTCAACATCTACTTGGTGACAGAAATGGCTTTCATGAGAGATGTGTTTTTGACAGATTATCGGCCATGAGTCATTTACGACGGTCTACTGTTCAGCACAGCACCCGCAATTACAGGAAAATGAAATATATTTTTAGAGATGAACAAAAGACATAAAATACTATTGCTGTTTTTGAAACTAACTGCTGTGCCTTCACACCATTCCGTACAAGTGTAATATCCATTTAAAAGAGGAAAACTGTCTTAGTTCACCCAAAGGCTTTTATCTGCATCGGAAAATATGACCTCATCACGTAGCCTTGCTGACACCAAGCGACAGGCTTAAGTGACCAGTTGCTTGGTGGCATATGTACCAGTGCCATGTACTAGTACACACAATGTAGGAAAAATAAGCATCGTAATATACGGCTGGCTTATGTTAGTAGTCTTCATTTTGACAGACCTTTATATTTTACAACGTGTACATTATGTACTGCAGTGTTCTCATACACCTATATTTATCAAACTAACATCTGAATGTTTCAGAATTTAATTTAAAAAAATCAAACAGAAAGATACTGACTCACTGTTTTCATGTTGACAGTTATTTTCTCTTTCACACTGAGGTAACTTTTCTCATGATCCTTATAAAACACTTCCTGTTGTGTCAGTGGTTTCACTATGAGCTACAGTTTGGTGTGGTTTAACAGGAGTGGCTCTTCCTGAGTATGCTTTTAAACTGCTTTAACTTATATATTGACATATTAGTTAATCCATAAAGTAGATTCTATGTTGGTAAACACAAGGTTGAGTGTATGGAGGCACCAAACCCACAAACCACCAAACCACTGGTCTAATGTTTTTCTTATTTTTACTGCTCTTGTGCCTTCTGCCATGACCCCAAAATTTCCCACGTTTGGGACTAATAAAGGTTTATCTTATCCCTGTTACCAAACAGCTTCCAGGGTAACTATTGTGCTTGTTGTGGGGTTTTTCTTTCCACTTTGAGATTGTATAATCTGGCATACTCTATCAAGCTACATGACCTTACAGATTGGGACTGCAAAAAAAGAAGAATCCCATTCCAGTTTGTTGGTGTGTGCTTCCCTGAGTGAATGTGTTAAATGCAGAGAGGAATTTCCCCACGGGGATCAGTAAAGTATACATTATTATGATTCAAGAATTGCACATCAATCAACTCCAAACGTTTTAGTCATGCTTTTCACAGTTTTGCAACTTGCACAACCCAACCAGACTCCAAAAATACACTTCTCCAGAAAGTGTAGCTCTTTCTTGAAAACACTGAGAATGGCATGTATTTCCTTGTAAAGTAATTGTTCTCCTTTTTCTAATGAAGAAATGCTATAGCATGATCTACATCACTGATCTTAAATCTTGAAAATGAGGAAGCTAATCAGCCTAAACGAAAATGCATGTGTTTTTAAACCAACTGCAAGCGTTAGTAGGGGTGTGGTCCACCTTTGGAGAGGATCCACGGGGTGTTTGGTTTCTTTATCTTCCTGTGGTGATTTCTATGCCACCTTTTGTCTCTTCTGTGTGCAGGAACATGGCTGATGGTGACATGCAGAGAGGTGGGGACACTGTAGATGCTGCAGTTTGTGGAAATGGGTAACTATTGTGCGTTGTTGCTCACTGTCTGAGTGCCCACGTGTTGAGAAAGCTTAACTACTGTAGCAGCTCTGTTTGCTGACATGTGGAGACTTGTGCACCTCCTGGCTGATTTGACCTTGGCTCAGGTTGTTTTCCTTCATATTTTAACACAAGTGGCTTATGTTACCGTCATCTTCACTTTGACAGCCAGCAGTTTATTCTTCAGTTTGCCACAGTATGGTTTTAAACCACCAGGATTAATTAGTAAAGAAGCTGAGCGTACAAGAGCTGCTCAAAAGAAAATGGTACATGTGAAAATGCTTAGTTGCACCAATGCTCTGAAGTTCTATCTGGTACAATGACATTTCAAAACCAATCTGTGTGATATTCTTGTACGTTTTCATTGAAGTCGTGGGTAAACAAACAAGTTTAGCTACAGTAGCTACAGTCTTGTTAACAACTTCTTTTATGTGTGACGGTGTTAAACAAGTTCTTCATGTTTTAAGTACAGGGCAGTCATGAGTCAGTGTGTGTGTGTGTGTGTGTGTGTGTGTGTGTGTGTGTGTGTGTGTGTGTGTGTGTGTGCTCCATCAGGGAAAATGCAGAGGCTGCAGGAAGTTGCAAGACTACTGAGGAAAAGGACTGGAACAGCAGTAAACCAGAAACCTCAGATGTTTACCGCTACAAGATGGACTACCCCTGCATTGGCACCTGTGTGATTATCAACAACAAGAACTTCCACTCAAAAACAGGTAAGATGAGATAACCTTTATTAGTTCCACGTATGGGACATTTGTTTTGTTACAGCAGTGGACAGTGCAAAGTTGCATAGAAAATTAGAGAAAAAACAGTGGATTGATATATCTATGAGATACTGTACACAATAGAATAGAATAAAATAAAATGCTAGATACAACAGTGGTAACAGTGGGTCTAGACCAGGGGTGGGCAACTCCAGGCCTCAAGGGCCGGTGTCCCTGCAGGTTTTAGATGTGTCCTTGAACCAACACAGCTGATTTAAATGGCTAAATTAGCTCCTCAACGTGTCCTGAAGTTCTCCAGAGGCCTGGTAACGAACTAATCATGTGATTCAGGTGTGTCGACCCAAGGTGAGATCTAAAACCTGCAGGACACCGGCCCTCGAGGCCTGGAATTGCCCACCCCTGGTCTAGACAGTCATTGAGATGGACTGAGACACTTTGCATTTCATGATCATTGTCTCCGTCTAAAACTGCCTCGTCACAGTGCTCGTTCCAAACTTCACTAATTTTCCAAATGTCATCAGCTGCGCTACATTGTGCCTCACACTTCACACTGTGGCATAAAAACAACCTGATACAGTCTTTTTAGTTTTTAACTTATCACAGTAGGAAAAGAAAACAAGTACCTCACATGGATATGACCTTGAATAAAATGTAAATACAGTGAAGACCAACACAAGATCCTTTAAATGTTATTACCCAGCACGTGTTTGGAGATTAAATGGTGGTTGATTGACCTCCTAAGACCCGAACTCTTCCTTCTTGGACTTCCTGTCACAGGAGTGTTTGTATGTTATAACCTTATCCAGATTTATAGAATGTCGGGGAGTGCTTGTTTTCTTTTTACACTATGCTCAATAATAGTGTTGTATTTGTAAGACATGACACCTCTATGGTGCAGATGTTTCCCTCTCACTTCACCCAGTTGTAAATGTGCACATGTTGTGGTGTAACAGTAGTAGCATCTGTAGGATCATTTTACAGCTGCTGCTGTGACAAATCCCAGTGTCTGCAGTGAAAAGGGAGATGGGATTTTCCCACATTTTTCCAAATGTACAAAAAGTCAAATGAAGTACTTTGCACTGCTTTGCTTTTTGTGCAGTTGCAGTACAAAGGAATCCTGCTGTGACAGTTACAATCCCAGTTCCAAAACAAACTTGGAACTAAAATGTAAAACAGAATGCAGCGGCAGATCTCACAGACCAAATGGTCAATGTCCTGTATTTGTATAGTGCTTTACTAGTCCCTAAGGACCCCAAAGCGCTTTACACATCCAGTCATTCACACACTGGTGATGGCAGCTACATTGTAGCCACAGCCACCCTGGGGCACACTGACAGAGACGAGGCTGCTGGACACTGGCGCCACCAGGCCCTCTGACCACCACCAGTAGGCAACGGGTGAAGTGTCTTGCCCAAGGACACAACAAACGAGACTGTCCAAACCCGGGTTCGAACTGGCAACCTTCCGATTACAAGGCAAACTCCTAACTCTTGAACCAACACTTCATTGACCACAGAGCAGAGGAAACGAGCGCTGTCCCGTTCTCCCTTTCTTGTTTAATATCAGGACTCTACCTGTACAGCACTCCTGGCTCTTATTTGTCATGTTCCTGTTTTGTGATGCTCCAGCTGTTTGCAGGTGGTGAAATATCTGGAGGCAGGTAGGCCAGTTCAGCACCCGTACTCTTCTAGTACGAAGCCACATAAAGAATGCAGTTTAAAAGATGATGGTGATGGTCCCCTCCCAGATGTGAAGGCTGTTAGTTCCATAGGCACTAATGCCAGATTCTGGGTGTCCAATCATGATATGATACCCAACCATGTTACTGACATGTGGCCAGTTAACCTGAGGTAACCCTACAGTGCTGTGAAAAAGTATTTGCCTCTTTCTCCAGTTCTTATTTTATTTTAATAGTTGTCACATTTACATGTTTTAAATTTAACAAACTTTAATATTAAACACAGATAATCTGGGTTCGAATGAGCTGTATATTTATCATGAAATAGTTAAATGTATTAGCTTGATTTGATGTTTTTTTTTTAGTTTTGTTGTGAATAAAATATCAGCTTATGAGATTTTAAATCATTGCATTCTGTTTGGATTTTATTTCCAGGATTCCCAGACGGTGCTGACTTTATAGTGTGCTACCTTTCTGCTTGTGTATCTCTGTAGGGATGGGCACTCGTAATGGGACAGATGCTGATGCTGCCAATGTTGCAAAGACCTTCCAAAACCTGGGTTACAAGGTCAAAACATTAAATGACCAGACTGTGGCTGAGATGAAAAGGCTGTTGTTAGACGGTAAGAAGACGTTAAAGCTTTACCTCTGTATTCACAAAAACCTCTCCATCCTGTTACAGTCAACCTGTGAGCTGATTGTAGTGAAATGCTGTGGTTGTGGTAACCACCAGACGGCAGTTGTTCTAATGTTGCTATAGCTTTTTGTTAGCAGTTGGCGGATGTTATAGAGCTACACCAGTTACACTTACATAACAGGCACTGTCTGGTTTGGTTTTAACCAATCATCCCAGTCGTTTTAGGAGAGTAGCCTTAGCCCATTAAGAAAGAAGAGTGAAAAAGGATGTGAAGGAACATAAAATGTCCAGAAAATTTTATTTTTGTTCATTCTATTAGAGTAGCTCCGCCAAAATAAAAGCACTGGCTTGTGAGTTGGCATCAGGGGTTGTTTAAAAACAGCTGGACTAATGATTCCTTGGTGTTTCCCCTCTGTTCTGCTGTGTTTCCAGCATCCAAAGAGGACCACAAGAACAATGCATCATTTGTGTGTGTGATGCTTAGTCATGGGGATGAGGGTGTCATATACGGCACTGACGGCTGTGAAAAGTTTGATACGCTGGTACAGTGCTTCAAAGGAAAGCAGTGCAAGGGTCTGGTGGGGAAACCAAAGCTCTTCTTCATACAGGTGAGTTCATTATGGCAGTGTGGTACACTTCTGCGATGTGTCTTCACATTCCCGTTTTTCAGTCTTTATACAGTAACGTCTTCATTTGTAGTTTATTAAGTTCAAAGTGTTGCTTTAATTGTCATCTGTTTTGTAACTTTTAAAAACAAAACAGTGCTTTCACTTTAAATGTACATGAAAAAAATGTAACCATTGAATTTCTTTATATTTAACTGATGAGTCAGAGCTAACACACCCACTTTTTAGCCACTTTGATTTCCTCCAGGAGCTTTGAGGACAACTTGCCCAACACAGATGTTTTGGATATAAAGTCCAGATGTTTCTTCACATTGTTCGAGAGCTTTAGTTAATGTGGGGAGGTTTTAAACTACTTTTAAAGATTGGAATTTACAAAATATACCTTTAACCCTTTTTCTTAATATCCAATATGACTGATAACTTTTGTTTATATGTCCTGGTGCTGCTGAAATTCAAGTTCATTTAGATAATGCTTCGAATAACTGCCCGCCCAAGTTTCCCTAAGGTGTTTCAAGATGTGTGCCAAATATGAGATCGATTTTGAGTTTCTCCTTCCTTTTCAGGCATGTCGTGGTTCAGCCCTGGATGAGGGAGTCATTGAGACCGACAGTGTAGGAGACGAGCAGACGTCTGAGAAGATTCCTGTGGAGGCCGACTTCTTATACGCCTATTCCACCGCTCCAGGTACAAACAGTTTCTCAGACGGGACATTTTAGAGTGATGTCCCAACCTCAGGACCCACCTTCTGGGTCATTCTCATAAACCGATGGGTTGGGGTGTGAAGAACAAGCATCGACACATTGTCCTGTTCATTTTCTGTCTATGCTTCCCTTTTTCTGTTTCCTTTTTTTTTTTTTTTTTTTTTTGGTCTACAACGCAGCTGATGTGTCACATGTGGTGTCCAAACTTGTTTTCTAAGAGCGCTAACGCTGTCACTCGTCCTGCAGGATACTACTCATGGAGAAACACAAGCAACGGCTCCTGGTTCATACAGAAGTTGTGTGAGATGTTGGAGCGCTACAGTGGGAAGCTGGATCTGATGCAGATCATGACGCGAGTCAGCCACGGTGTTTCACGCCAGTTTGAGTCGTCCTGCAACCTGCCTGGATTTAGCAACAAGAAGCAGATCCCCTGTATCGTCTCTATGTTGACCAAAGACTTTTACTTCCCTGTCTAGATTTACATGGTTAAACCTAATATCTACCCTCTGGCCACCTTGAATGTATACAGTCTGTTGTGGTGTTCTGAGCAGGATAACAATGATTTAATTGTCACTATACCCAAATGCACTTTGCACTGAGGTAAAAACACATCAGTGTTGGATGATTTTAGTGTTTGGTCTTGTTTGGGAAACACAAAACACTATTAGTTCCATAGTTAAAAATATATTACAATAAAAAAACTTATACTGATGCGACAGCTTCCATCTTTTGTCATGTGATCATGCTGTATGTTTGACACTTCATTGTGTTGCAATGGCCCAAAGTCCAGACCTCAACCTGACTCAACTGTTTACATGCAGTATCTCTCACAGAGGAAACTTTAATATCACCTGTCAAAATCGCATTTGTTTTATTCTGAATTTTACACACAGGAATAAGATCATTGATCCAACTGACCAAATCATTCACACAGCTGGTTTGAAACGTTTGAAGAAAATTCAGGTCAGCTGATGGTTCAGTAGTATTTGCTTTAAAAGCATATGTGTGGATATAACCTGTAACATAATGCTACCACAAACACACCCGAGATCGTATGTAGAGCAAAGTTGCACCAGCAATGTCTAAACTAAAGCATTATGGAAAATTACATGGGATAAATTATCAATATGTTTAAGGGACAAGTAAAGAAGTTCAAGCCTCACAAATAACTGAAGTCATTTTATGAAAAAAAAAGCAGTCTTGATAAATGATTACTGAATTTTGAATTTGCCACAATAAAAGACACTTTCACATTTGATTGGATGAAGAATTTCAACCTCCTTATGGAATCTTTATTTTTTCACTGGCTTTGATTTTCTTTTGCTCTGCAATTTAAAAAATGAAGAAAATTCCCCTAAACTGATCATATTTTCAAAAAGAGATGGCGCGGTCCTTTAAGCACAGAACTTTAGTAACGTTGTTACTTTGCGCCTCTGAACAGGAAACGGAACCCATTCTGCGTCCTCGGGTCTCTGGAGCTGAAATTTGCAAGTCTTGTTTTCTTCCAACCTCTAAAAAGCAGAACGGGACAAAGGAACCTGTATCTTCGAGATTGCACATTTCTACCCTCTTTTCGACCAAACTGGTCCGGCTCTGTGGAAAATATCTGCTGGCACAAATATAGTTTTGACCACAAGAATTCTTTTTAACCAACAAAGTAAAGGAAGTTATTTTAGCCTCGTTTCTCCTTATGTTGGAATAGTTTGGTTACACGGATATTGACACTAAACTCAGTTGTCACGTTTATGTTACGAACCTGCTTCTTATACTGTCTAAATTCTATATTCATAAATCCAAGTTCTCCTGTAGTAAGCAAAATTTCATTCAATTACTTTTGTATATATATTTTCTCAGTAATGGGCAACAAGAATAACAACGTGTCGCCTTTTTAAACATTTGAATATACTCCTATAATGTGTCTGAACGAGTAGAGACCCCGGGCGCTTTGTCTCTATGGTATACTAACTTGCATCTTCTCTACTCCTTCTGTGTTCTTGCCAGCCTGATGTTTCGTCTTGTTGTTCTCGGGGTTTTTTTTTCGAACTGAAATTATAAACTGAACAGTCAGTCATTCCAGTTCAGTTTGTACAGTAGATATCCAGGGCAAATAAGAGTAACAATAAACAGTACAATGAAATAAGAAGGGTAAATAAATAAAGGAAAGGAAAAAAGAGGGATGTGACAGACTTCATAACAACTTTGTACTTGAAAGTTGTAATTATGACAGCTCGTTTATTAAAAGCTTCTGAAAGAATTTCAATCAATGATAAACCTTTTTTTAATTAATTTAAGAGAGTTTAAGTAATATTCAATTTCAATCAAAACAAATTAAATGATGGGGTTGAGTTTTGAAATTTACATTTATGTAAATGAAATTTCCCGATATAAAGATTGACAATGTCTTGTTGTTCTCAATAAAGTTGGATTTTTAAAAAGTGACGTTGTCTTCTCCCGCCCACACTGGGACGGCGTCCCGACCGTCTCAGGTCTTAAATGAGAGATTTCCTGTTTGACGTTATTTATGTCACAGATGTCATAAAAGCGCATTCTACTGTTTTCTACTGTCTCGTTACAGGGTACGTTTATTTAGGTATGTTCCACTTTATTGGTTTTTACTCCTGTGAGCCGTTTTGTTTCACTTATATGTTTTTCTGACGGAGCTGTAACTAAAATGAAACTGTTTAAAAAAGCAACGTGGGGATATCAATTTTAGGACTTTGTTCACTCGTCTTTATTACTGTGTAACATTAGCTGTAGTAACAATTTAATGCACAGTTGTCGTATGTTAGGTTTGTAGTTTTTGTCTGCAGTTACATTTTACGCACCTCATCCCAGTGTTGGGGTAATTTATCAAACTCATATCCTGATGTTGTCCGGGAACAAAATGAGAGTTTAACATTGAACTTTAGATTGTGTTTGTAATGAAATAGAGAGATTCATTTTGTCCTTTGTACTATAAAATGGGTGTATATGGTTTTTGTTTCGCTATGAGCTACATCTTAAGTTTGGTTTAGCTTCCGCTTTTTTGTGTGGATACATCAGAATCTGCTTCATGTCAGGCTGTGCCTCCATGCACCCAACAATATAAACTGCATTGAACCAAACAATTAATATTCATGTGAGCAACTTCCTAGTTTGACCTTGCACAGTTTGGCGTGCTCTGTTAGACTGTTAGGAGTCACAGGGTGTTTTTTAGGGCAGGGATAGCTCAGTAGGTAGAGTGGTGGCCCCATGATTGGAAGGTCGGGGGTTCGATTCCCCTGAACAGCTAACCTGAGGTACCCCTGAGCAAGGTACCGTCCCTACACACTGCTCCCCGGGTGCCCAGTGGCTGCCCACTGCTTCACTGAGTGAATGGGTTAAATGCAGAGAGGGATTTTCCCCACGGGGACCAATAAAATACACTTTCTTTCTGTGGTGACTTCTTTCTCTGTTCTGTGCACAGGAACATGGCTGATGGTGACACGCAGAGGGAGGGGGACGTGGTGGATGCCAGCCTCTTCAAATTGTGGTAACTATTGTGCATTACTGCTCACTGTCTGACTCCGCGTACAGTCATATGAAACATAAAGTTTCTGCAGGATGCTGTAGTCTGTGAAAAACATGCACACCCAATGATTCAGCAGCTTGCAGAACCACGTTTAGCCACACAAGCTTGAAGTAATTGTTTTCTGTATAAGCAAATATTCCTCTACAGTGATGTCCTTATCAGTTCATCACAATTTTGGCTCGCTCTTCTTTGCTACATTGCCTCAGTTCATTGAGACTTTGCAGGCATTTATTTATGCACAGCTATCTTCGGGTCTCGTTACAGGACTTCGGGTGATTGGAGCACGTTGATTCTTTGCTTTTTCAGCCTTTCTGTTCTAGATTTGCCGGTGCCATCAGGATCATATGAGCCTTAGCTTTAGCTATTAGGCAGATGGCCTCACAGTTCATTTTAGAATAATTTGCTTTGCAGAGGAGTTCATGATTGACTCAATGCCTGTCTGCTTGGTGCCCAGGTCCTGTATCTGCAAACCAAGCCCAAATCCTCCCCCTCAGTCAGCATGAGGTGCTCTTTTTGGTTTTCTCCAGATTTGTGAAACCCTGCTACCGTGTTCTTTTTAGAGAGAAGAGGCTTTCTTCTTCCAAACAAGCTGCACTTTTTCTAATTTTCCTGTCATTAACCTTTCATTTCATCATTTAACTTACTAAGTGTTGTTTTTCTAATTTTTCTGAGCATTGCCTGACTCCTGGAAACAATTTTGGCATTGTAGTAACACCTGACCTAAACAAAGATATTTATCTACAATATGTATCTGCACAGTTGTTAAAATGTTCTTCTAAGTATGATGCCCGCTAAACAAGTTCTTAAGTTCTTCAGTGAAGGGTAATCACATTGTTTGTGTGTACACTTTCAGGAAACAAGCAAATGCAGGAAAGGGTAAGACCAAGGAAACGAACAGCAGCAGACCAGAAGCCTCTGACTCTTACCGCTACAAGATGGACTACCCATGCATCGGCACCTGTTTGGTTATCAACAACAAGAACTTCCACCCAACAATAGGTAACAGTGGGTCCATCCTGCCGCTCGGGCCACACTGACTCACACACTAATAGATTTGGCCTCTGCCTGGGCCTTCCTGTTGCCATAGTCACCACTGTGATTGACTACTGCTGTCTTTCATGGAGTTACAGCGGAGAGGAATCGTGCTGTGACAGTTTAAAGAAACACTTGATTAAAAAGACAAAAAGAAACTGGAGTCTGTGTCATTGCTACAAAGATCAGGCTCAGTGTTATCAGTCCAAAGTGTCACAGTCAGGGTGAAGTCAGGATACACGTCCTCTTTGAAAATACACTGAAGACGCTGATGTTTACAGCACGCTGCCTTTTCGCTGGTGTGTCTCTGCAGGGATGAGCACTCGTGATGGCACAGATGTTGATGCTGCCAATGTTGAGAACACCTTCAGTAAGCTGGGCTACAAGGTCAAAGTGCACCATAACCAGACTGCGGCGCAGATGAAGAAACTAATGCTAGATGGTAAGAAGAGTTTTGGCTCATTCATGTTTACGTGTGTGTGGAGAACGATCCTCCCCGTGCCGTTATGCTGAAGTCAGTTTGTCAGCTGATACGGTCTGCAGCTGGATCATGTTTGTGATTCAGTTTAATGCTCGTTTACTCTTTTTGCACTGTGAAAGAGACACTCCAAATGCAACAGCAGGTGTATGTGCAGTCATATAAATTTAGATAGATAGATGTGGAAAAACTTAATTTTGACCAGGTTTTAAAAAGACCTGATGTTAATGAGCAACTATAGAAATAGCACTCTCAACACCTGAAGATTACGATTTTTTTAAACTATGCAGTTTAAAACCCCTTAGCAGTCGGACGTACCGCCCACGGGACATTGGATGGTTTAGGGGACTAATTGGACTGCTAAGGGGTTAAATTATTCAGAATTTATATCTGTTTAATTTCTTTCCTAAATGGTTCCTTGTGATTGTTCAGTCAAAGCTTCATCATCATCATGTGACCCTAAACCTGACTGTAGGGAATAAACCATGCAGAATTTATGCGAAACTGCAGGAACCGTCTGACGATGAATGAATAAATAAACACTTTAAATATATTACATAGATGACTTAACTGTAGTTTTAATAATAATTTGAGAATTGCATCATTTTAAAATGCAGTAAATTGCTGCGTTAACCGCCAGCGCTCTGCACATCTCTGATAAATCGCTGCAGTAACTTTAAGGCCAGCATTTACAGACAGGTCAGAGAGGCAGAGCATCAAATCAATCACACATAGCTGATCGTTCAAACAGAAGGCCAACGACTTCCAAACACAAATATCCGCTCGATGCCGGCTGTGATTCGAACACATGTAAACGCTATTCCAGGATTCAGAGACAGAAAGTATTTACAGAACTCTGTTACAAAAACAATCATTTTCTTTTTTCCCCTTCAAACTTTATGACAAAGTTCAAATGAGGGATTTTTGCTTTTCTCCTTTTAGCGCTCATAATTCAGCGGCCACGCTTCGTTTGAATATCATCGCCTCTTAATGATCGAAGAGATAAGCAGCAAAGCCCGTCTCTGCCTGTCTGTGAAGCCTTCTTAGTGCCATCGGTGTGTTTTGACCTTTAATAAAACGAATCACAAA